TCTCTAAATGTTATATTGTGTATTTATAGATTGCATTTGTTTTGGTTAATTATATTTGGTTAATTACAAGAAGAAGAATGTATTTTGCTTAATTATATTTGTAGCATGAAGAAAATGATCCACAGAGGTATTATGATCAATTTCTTACCATTTTTTGAATTATTACACTTTTAAAGTTCTATAAATGATATTTTTTATAAAGGTTATATTTGTATAATAAATTTGTGCATGGAAAATTGAACAAAAAAGTAGGATGCAATAATGGAAAAAGAGTATGATGTTATATTGTAATTTTGCAGGCTATATATGGGGTTTAGTTGGGTGATACTCTTCTACGTGATGGCAGATGTTATGGGCTTAGGACATGGAGGTGATGGAGCCGGGGATCCACCACCTCCAGTAGGCTTTGGTCGTGGACAACACGAACAGGATGGTCAGTCTTATTATAATATATTTGTTAGCTATTTTTTATCCATTTATTATAAGCTATCGTGACTAATATTTTTAATTATATTTTTCAGCTGAGCTCCCTAAAAAAAGAAGAGGCCTAGCAAAAAACATCCAACTATCAAAGCTGATACGGGCAAACAAGGGAAAGCCTGTGGATTTGGATTTCGATAGGGAGTTGACATATTCCCCTGTCGGGAACCGTGGTAATTGTTTTACCCGTGAGATTGGGAGGTATATGTGGATGAACATCCCTTTGAACGTATCTGGTTGGGACAATGTTTCGCCCGCTTTAAGGAATGCCACAGTGGTTAATCTAAAGGTAACTTGGATAATATTTTAAGTTTAATTCTGATTGGTATTTAACTAACTAACTTTTTTGTATTTGTAGAACTAGATTATGACCCGCGTAAAATGCGGGGAACATATAAAAATGTACATATAAATGTATACAAAAATTGGCACTATAAAAAAAATAAAGTAACAGAAACAGACTTAGCATTATTGGTAACATTGAAATGTCTGGAAAAAAAAACAATGGAACACCTAAATATTTATAATCGTTGAAGGATCTCTTTGTAGACATAAATTTTTATTTTATTAGTTGAATGACCTTCCTTGAGTATATCTTCCATTCATAACTTGGTAAGCCACAACAAAATCATTGACTAAATGTATATACAAAAATGTAAAAATAAAAAAGAAAATCGACATATACAAATTCACTACCTAGTGGACATATCTTCCAAATCGAAACAATGGATGAGAGGTAGTGGTGCTACTGTGCCCATCCTTTTGCTCTCCAGATATCTATAACTTAAAAAATCAAAATCAACAATACAAATCATAAGAACAAAAATAGAAGCAGATTCAGAAAATGTAATCATTATGGATTTAAACTTAAATCGAAAGGTTTTATAGATTGAAACTTCATAGTTGAAACAGAATAAAAGAAACATAATATAAAACGTACCTAAAATCGATTTAAACTACGATCAAATTAAAGTAGAATCAAAGAAATTTATCTCTATATCATTCCTCCTTCTTTCATTATGATTGAACACAAGACTGATCTACAAAGATCGAAGCCCACATATATTTTATTTCTTCTTTCCCTCCATTTTCTTTCCCACTACAAAACTTAGGTTAGATAAATTATGTAAAAAAAAAGGGAGAGAGGGTAGGGGTACTGGTAATGAGGGATGGGGCGATACATTTTTTCATTTTATTTTTGATGAGATTTAATTGTAATTAATAAAATTCCTAATTTAATTCATTCTATTTTTGGTGAGATTTAATTGTCATTAATAGAATTCCTAATTTAATTCATTTTATTTTTGGTGAGATTTAATTGTCATTAATAAACTTCCTAATTTAAAACGTAGTATATATTTTATAAAATTTGTGGACAAAAATAAAGGGGTTGACAAAGATGATATCAGCAAATAATCCAATGGTAGAAAATATAGGATTAAAATGCAATCAATGACCCTGATTTCTTCAATTTAGAATTAAATGTTCTCTTTTAATAATATTTAGAGATAAGTTTGATTTAGATAAGGTTAACTTGGATCCCGAGCGTGCTCAGTTGTTGCAGAGCATTGATGCGACTTTGCAAAGAGTTTATAGAGGCCGGAAAAATAAAGCGCATACTTATTTTCAGAATGTCGGGGGGCTTACAAATATCCCAAGGGCATTAGCCAACGCCCCCGATGGTATGTCACGTGAAAATTGGGCGCAAGCAGTCGAACATTTTCAAACTCCTGAATTTATAAAGTGTTCGGCGTCAAACAAAGGAGTCCGTGCACAACAAGTTGTAAACAGAGGGGGGTCGTGCTCGTATATCAATGCATGTTTCAAAGAAGTAAGCTATGATATATTTAACTGTTTATTTAAATTATGATTAATCTAATTTTTAATGTTAAATAGGACATCGCTCGAATTGAAGCATTCCGTAAGGCCAATACTGATCGCCAAGGGGTATTTAGTAGTCCAGCAGTCGAGCAACAATACGTAAGTGGTTAATTTATATTTTCATATAAGTGTTTATATCGTCAAGGGGTAGTTAGTAATCTAATTTTTATGATGTTTATCATTTTTTGAAAATACAGAATGCTTTACTTTTTGAGATCAGTCAACAAACTCAAGCTTCTTCTGAAGCCAACGGTCTAACACCAAAGGATACACAAAATTGTTTTGAAAAAATATTGGGTGTTCGACGTGGCCATATCAGAGGCATCAGACGTAAACCTTCTACGGTTGTGTCGATGTACGACCAGGAACAACTACTGACACAGTCGCCGCCACAATCACATGTGACAAGACTATTTAATTTTGGTAATTGTTTCAAATGTTGGTAATTGTTGGTTTAGTAATAGTTTCAAATTTTTGTAATTGTTAGTTTGATAATAGTTTATATATTGGTAATTGTTAGTTTTGTTATACTTTGCTTGTATGTGGAATGTATATTTTGTATATAGAATGTTATAATGCTAGTTTAACTTATAAGACTATGTTGTTTTATTTGTAGTTGGAAATGCTTCAAACAATGTTAAAAGATCCGACATGTAGTGCTGCACTTGAAGATTGGTTTTGTTCGTTGCCACAACGAAATGAAACTGGAGGAAACGAGGAGAGTGATGATGACGAGTAGATAGTTGTAGGATTTTTTTTATGTTTTGTTTGTACAAGTATTTTAGACTAGTATTTTCGATATTTTGTTATATGTTAAATCGGACGAGTAATTTTAAACGGATGTTGTATTAATATTTTGGAATGGAATGATGTAGGATTAGATTAATTAATATCATACCAGTTTTTATACTTTATATATATATATATATATATGAAAACACCAATACCGGCGACGCCTTTAGTGACGACAATTGGTTATTAGCGGCGACGGTGTTATTAGCGGCGACGGTGTTATTAGCGGCGCTACAACAGGCATTAGCGGCGACAGTTTGATTATTAGCGACGAAGCATCAGCGACAGTTTGATTATTAGCGACGAAGCATCAGCGACATGTCGCCGCTAATAGTATTAGCGACGACAAACCCCAGTTTTAGCGACGACGCCTGTCGCAGGTAATACTCTAATTTCTTGTAGTGAAAGTAGATAGCTACGGAAGTAAATAGCTACAGATTTTCTGTAGGTAATCCGTAGCTAATTATTTTTTATTTTAAAAAAAACAGTAAAAAATTATAAAAAAATCCAGTTTTTTATGTCCAAAATATTGAAAAAACTCATTACATTAAACTTATAATAATATTGAAATTCAACTGCAAAACAAATAACATTATAAAAAAACTAATAAACCTAAAAAAGTATCAAATACAAATACATATTACTAATGAACATCGTCTAATAATACACATTAAAAGTGTGAACTACAAATGTTTAAATAAGTGCTTACAAAATAAAATTGAAATTTTTTTGATGGATTACTTGGCAAATTATCGGGTAAGTTGAATCGATAAAGGCTGACAAGGCTGACAAGAAATGCTTAAAAATCTTAACATGACATAGTACCTTATTAACCGGATGACATAATCGAGAACAAAAAATCAACAAAAATATGAGTACAAATCTTGATTTTAGGCAACTACATAAATTGATCATTCAATTCATCTTTTATTTTTTGCTACTACTTACGAATAAAAGTGTTAAAATGTGCGGCCACGTGTCAAAGTTCAAAGACAAAAAAAATCAACCATAATTGACAAATGTTATGAATCCGACATATTATTATAATCCAAATAATTGAGGTTATATTATTTCCTGAAGATAAAAACTACCAACTGAAATTACATGAATTCGAATCTGTATATGGTATCAAGTCTCATTCCATAGCTAAAAGGTCATGTGAGTAAACTGACAGATAGACAGATTGCTTTTTGGTACCATATGGGCTCATGTCATCTAGGGAAGGTCTTTTGCTACCATAGTTTTGCTTATTCATGACCAAATTAACCTCAAAACCATATAAATATTGTACATTTCTTCAGCTTTTCTTGGGTATTTACCTAATTTACCATCACGATTCATGTTTGACTGCTTGAACAATTGTGTTTTGAGAAGTACAATTCAGTTACCAACATTTATTTTTAGTAGATTCTGCATTTTAAAGTTTTATTAGCCTCACATATCAAAAATGGAATCTTCTTTATAATGCCATATATCATTGTAATTTTGAAGGCATTGAATAAAGAATCCAATGAGATTACATGATTCACAAGATTAGGGTATAACCCTACTTCAACTCTATCTCCTATATGTATATATAGAAACCAATATTATACACCTGTTGTTTCATTTATTTTTTTATCTTAATTTTATTGTCTTTAATCTTGAAGCCCATTGGTTACATAAAATAGTCCCAATATCATATATAGAAGTTTAAGTATCCTATCCACTCCAGTATATGTAATCAAATTGAGCCTGTATATATAAAATAAGCCCTATATGCTTTTAACAAAAATGGTACTAGAAAATTGCTGATTTGCCACTTGGAAAAAAAAATTGTCTTTTCAAAAACCTAACACAATCTTTCTCACTTGACAAAATTTCAGCAAACCATTTTGATATCAACAAGATTCTTTCTTGTTTGGATCTAGTCGTATACTGGCATACTTGTAAATTAACCCACTTTTTTCCATGAATCCCGTGTAACTTGTTTCTTCTTTCTCCCCTTCATGTACTGCATGTCCCTGTTTTGGTGATTTTTGTTAGTGGGTCAATAGTTTTTTAAACATAATGCTGTTGCTTTTTAAACATAATGCTATTAAAAAAATATCTCATTTATACTTTGTATCCATATTTGAGTGAACGACACATAATACTTCCTACACATTCACCGCGCATTATCCAAAATTTGGAATATGAAACAAGAAAAACAAGTAAAAGCACATAGTACATGCAAGAACAAAGAGTTTTGTTACAAAAAAAAGATTAAATTTATTTGGATGAGCAAAATCTTAGTCATTGTGTTCACAGATTCCAAATTGCCAACCAGTGATGTTAGTAACTCAAGGAATTTAATAAATGGGTTTGATTAATAAAGGTAAAAAGGTTTCTTCTCATGATAAGAGAAATGACTACCTAAGAGAACAAAGACATAATAAGAGTTTTGGGAACACCCAAAGGAGTGAAGCTTTTCCACCATGCCCACTGATGATTGTAATTCATTAGACACTAGACAAGAAGAAGATTCGAGCATTGTACACTCCAAAAGAACAAGATTATGAACAATCTATGTACATGTACAATTTAATATAACACAAGATTCTAAACATACACTACATATAATATGGTCCAAAAATACATGTTCTCGTAAACTGCAAGTTAATTATACTTTACATACTAAACTGAGCGCCTTATGTTTTTGCTTAATACACACTTAGGCGATCAATCACTAGAAGCTAAGTTATCTGCCCTAGATGTGCAGAACACTTTTTGAAAATATTGTGCAAAAGTAAATGAAGATATTGACCTTAAAACTTGTTGGGGTTTATATAAAGGTTTATGTTTAAACAAAAACCTAAACTTGGGACTTCGCACGATAGTTTTATGTATGGCCAACCAATGTAATCAATGTTAAAATAATCAATGATTAAAACCTAATCATTTTGATTTGTGATTGCAAGTAGCAATAACCAATTTAGGCATATACGTACTCAAACACCCATAAAGATATCATCCTATAGAATTGTCTTTCAAATGCATATTGTACTTATTTAACTAAAAGATGAAGGACATCTATATTCTCAAGGACAATGTCAAATCTTGTTTGTCTTTTTCATACAAATTCTTTTACAACTTATAGGCCATGAATCATAGTGGGGTTTGGCGTATGGAAAGTGGGCTAGACCACTGAGGAATCTAGATGGAAATTAGAAACAACAAAAGGTAAACACTTCTAAATAATAGCTGGTTTTCTATAGAAACCTGGTGTGCTTATAAAATTATATACACTCCAACTTTGATAACTATCAACTGTATGCAGCACTAACATGTCTGTTAAATCAAAATCATCCAATAACATATGATTTGACTCTTTATTCCCATAGTATAGAGCATGTAAACTATCAAATAAACTATCATAATCAATTATGCCATCTAATTAGACATGCATACAAGCAAGCAAGAACCCGTGTAGCAAAAAATATGTATCTATGAACGACTCAATTATATACTCCATGATCTATTACTAACAAGATACCAGCATTTTAAAGTAGACATCTTTACTTTTAGTTAACTAATGACCATTTTAATAGCGCCCTAATACACTTACTTGATTCAATTTTCTTGCTATCTCGTTTTTGTTAGCTTACTCGTTCTATCATAAGTTCATAACCCTAATTAGGGTTATGATAGAATGACTCAACAAGCATGCTAATGAAAATGAGATAGCAAGAGCATTGAATCAACTAAGTGCATTAGGGTCATTAAAATCGTCATTAGTTAAAAAAAAAAAAAAAGTAGAGATGTCTACTTTTTAAGTACAATTTTCTCCAACTCAAACCAAACCTAATTATTGACTATTGATGAGTAATTTATATAGTCTAGGCTCTCAAACAAATATAGAGCAATCATCATTGTAACATACCAAGTGTTCAATGAGCTTACAGGCAGCTATATTGTAAGAAGGAATTTTAACAAAATTATACTCCCTTTTTAAATAATTTTGTTATTAAAACCTAAAACTATCATAAGGAGATATTTAAGAAATAGGTCACGGTAAAGTACAAAGTAAAATATATTTGATAAACCCCAAATAAAGTACTTAAAGAAAACATGTACATACTAACCTGAAACTCTTTCTTTGATCTGATGCCTGAGATATATGAAAAGAACGACTTCTTACATATATACTATCGTACTTGAAAATCAAAACCATATCACTGATCTGATCTCTTGTACCTACAAAAAGTTATATACCTCATATATACGGAAAAAACCCTGATATGATGACGAACAAAGCATATCATGCTTACACATTGTTTCACCTCAGAAAAATACTAAAAATGTGAAATCCATCAGATCCAGAAGAGGAATATAATCTAAATCGATAAGAACGACTTTAATAAGGGCAAAAAATCAACTACTCAGAAGATTTATGCCAAAAGTTTAGAAGAACGCGGAATAAACTGGGGGATATCGGAGAGAACTGGAGAACAAAACCCTAAAAATAAAATTTTGAAATTTTTTTGGGGAGGGGAAAAAAGAAACGGTTAAGGCCAAGGGGTGATGAGGAAGCACCTTACATGATTTCAAGAAAATCTTATTTCCTCCTCTCCAACAAAACGTACATATTTTATTATAACGTACAAAAATGAATAAAAAGGAACGATATATAAAAACAAATCAACAAAAACAACATGATGGCGTTTTAATATTAAATGCTTCATATTCATTTTAATAGAATTGTAGTTGTATTTTATGAATATCGTGTGTTTCATCGTACGATTTGAAAAAGATTTGGTATATATCTCATTGTTTATTATTTTATAGGCATTTAACTGTTATGGGATTTTGAACGATGCATGATCTTATTATTATTATTATTTGTAATCATAAAACCTTATTCTCATTAGGCTTAAAGCCCAACACTTGTGCTTGAAATGGACATTAACAGGCCTCTTCACATCTCGTCTCTACATTAACTATTTGTGTTATATATTATGAAATTGCCATTGATATATCTATGTTTCTTAATGACCTCTACATTAATTGTTCGTTCACATCTCGTCTCTACATTAATAGTTTCTGTTATTGTGAAATTGCTACTCAATGATCTTTACTTTTGACTAGAGTCTTATGTTCTAATTACAAATTAAACATCTAAGGTATAAATACACATTTTTGTTATTTTTAATAGCTTTCCATTTTTTTGTGTGTATAAATGTTATAAACCCATACGCCTCATAAATTTATTCAAGTACCACAAGGAAGAGTTAGACACAACGCAATCCAATATATAACTCAGAGTCTTTTAACAACCTCCAAGGTCTTGACAGGATTCCCATTGCCTTGAAAAACTCGTCCAATTCCTGAAGGTAATAAACAGTAAATGGTGATTCGGTGACAAAATGTTAATTAAGAGGGAAGAACACCTAGTATAAGTAAATACACTTTTACACACAAAATTCTATATAACTATCAGCATTTTTACAGAGATTCAATGATACTGTGTTGAGTTTCAAATGAGCAGGCCAACAAACCAAGTGTCAAAAATCAATGGTATTATTAGAAAAAGAGGTTAGCCAAGCATAAATTGAGCTATGAATACTACACGATCATATGATAAATCAAAGATATATAAGCCCAAGGTACATACAAGTTTTGGGTAAACATTTACCACTTTGAGCATTATATAATATGCTTCATTTACTTGATTACGTGGCCATTGTCTAGGCTACCCTATGCACAAACGACATTCATCCAGCATGCATAATTATTCCAAAAATAGGACTATGGAACTAGAGAAAACAAGTAAAAAGAACCATGAATTATGTTACAAACTAAGATAAATTTTATTCAGATGAGCAAAATCTGATGCAACAACCAAACCTAACTACATTTTAGTTGCTTCTTAGCTGATGTTATGCCAGAAACATTAATGTATACTTTTAGTGCCAGTATATGGGAAGTTAAGGTTAAGCTAATAAGTAATTATCACACTGAAAAAGCTCAATTTTGTTCATTCTATATTATACAATTTCAAATTGTGCAACCCAGTAACATTTATGTAAGATTGAAGGAGTAGAAGAAACTTTTCGTAAAGGCTTTCATTTCATGATAAGATAAGGCTATGAGAGAACAAAGGGTAAACATCTGCAAGAGGAATGCAAAGATGAAAGTAATAAGTAATTAATGAAGCTGTTCCAGCCCAGAGACCAACATTTATACAGAGCAAAAGGGATTACAATTGAATAAATATGGAAATTTTTGATAAGCACATCTGTGAAACTGAAACAGCATTGGCAATTGCTAGCATGAACCAAGAAGAAGGATGATGGTGGAAAGGTGTCTATACATTGGAATGTACATGTATATTTTCATGCACATGTACAATAAACATAAACACAATTATTTATGCTTTATTGACTATTATGACAAATAACGAAGACAATATCGATCAGATGGAGCTTTAACCTTTTGAAGAAGCAGATAGTTCATGTTGTTTTAAAGTATGTAAATGTAGTAGCTGTTGTAATTTGGAACTGAAATAGCTTTAGCTAGTGGCATGATCCAAGAAGGATGACGGTGTAAAGGTGTCTATGCATTGGAATGTACATGTATATTTGCATGCACATGTACAATAAACATAAACACAAACACAATTATTTAGCTTGTTGACTTTACAACAAATAAATCAGACAATATGGGTCAGATGGATTTTAACCTTTTATAGAAGCAGACAGTTCATGTTGCTTCAAAGTATGCAAATGTAGTAGATGTTGTAATTTGGAATAATTACCCAATAGTAATCCACATTCCGTTAGACTTCAAAATAAATACAATAAGGGTACAAGCCATGGGTCGGGCTATTCATAATCTAAGGCCATATATATATATATATATATATATATATATATATATATATATATATATATATATATATTCCCCTACATTTTGAAGATGGGATATTGGCTGAAAATTGACCATTAAAACTGGACCGAAAATCCATAATGAGTCAAAAGAGGACTTTGGTAAAGATGTCAGCATACTACAATGATGATTGAACAAGAAGAACATGAAGTGACTAATTTGTCACGAACAAAGTGAATATCAATCTCATTCCCCGATGATAAAGAAAATTTGCAAAGAGATAACCATCACCTAAGTGATGTTTATTTTTTGTCTACAGATCTTCTTGATCTCTTCTGTCTGCGGTCTGCGCCACACAGACCATGCGCAAACATCAGGCTTCGCAGACTGTTTGTTTTTGAAGACTGCAGACCTAAAATGGTTTGCGTGTTCTTTTCTTGACGCAGATACAGACCAGCGTCTTCAAACCTCTTCATAGATCTTCTAGCTAAAAAAACATATCTTTGTTTTTTTTTTTTTAACTTAGATTTATTCTAACTTTATCTATGATAAACAATTTGAAATAAGAAAAGTTACAATACTTAAAGAAAAAAAGGTTTGATGACACAATTATGACTTTTGTGATAAATTTATAAAGAGAAATCTACAGAAAAGTCCCAAACTTTTGGGAAAAGTTTCAATAAAGTCCTAAAGTGTTTTTTTGAACTGACTAGTCCCGATTATTTAACATTTTGCCCAAATTAACAAAAAAGTCTTTTTTTATATATTTGAACAACAAATGACAGAATATGTGATTTTTCTCAAAATAATAGGACTTTTCTGTTAAAAAATTTTTTTAAGACTTTTTTGAAACTTTTCCCAAAAGTTTGAGACTTTTCTGTAGATTTCTCATTTATAAATAAAGATTTAATTACAATAATGGTTGTTGGAGCTGTTTATATAGATATGAAAAAATCTTAATATTGTCTTATATTTTTTATGCCAAATTTTATAAAATATTATTTAATGCAATATTATTAATTTCTTGGGAAAAATATTTATGCTCAGTTCTTAATTGATTTACTTGAAAAAGTAAAATGAAAATTTTGAAATTTTTTTATTTAAAATCAAAGTTTATTTCCATCCATTTTATGTGTTAAATTCTTTTATTCATAATTATAACGTTTATGTATAACTTTGCGACAAACGTTTGTTGTTTTTTGTCAAATATATACATTAATTCGTACAATTTTATTTTCACTTCTTATATAATAATACATAAAAATTGATCTACATTTGTTAATTATCCCTAATCACAATGTTTAGGTATAACTTTGCAACCGAAATTTGTTGGTTTTTATGTAATATATGTTAATTCGTACAAATTTTTTCACTTTTTATACAATAATTCATAAAAGTTTATCTACATTTGTTAATTATCTATAATAAAGTCATAAAGTTACTAAAAACTTTTTTAAGTTTTTTATTTTTTTTATTTTTTAAATCAGTTTAATTAAATTTTAGTTGATTGTAGTAGTCTGCAGATGTTAAAAAAACAAACAGACTTCTTTTTTCAGACTGCAGATGTTTGGTCCACCTCATCTACTGCAGAGGTCTGCAGATGTGGTCCGCAGACTACATACATTTTACCTCAGAAAAAACAAACAACACCTTACATTGTCACATTACACAATGGTGGTTTAGCAACCGAATATAGTGATCAAGAAGAAGATTTCGAGGCTAACATGTCTAAGCAACAACATTGGGAACTCATGATACTCAACTTCCACACAAGAATACGAGAGCGTGGGTTGTTGCTTAGAAAGGTTATTGCCAAGCTAAAAAATAATAAATAATAATAGAAAAAACAAAAAGAAAGGTAGAAGTAAAGTGACACATGGAAGGGCATCCCAAAGCACCATAAGAGTAGGCTATTAGACTAATAGTCCGGGAGGAAGAATTTTGTGGACCAATATCCAAAGTGGGTCGCGTAGGTAGAGACAAATCTGCTTAAGAGCTCTAAAGTGAGGCTCCCACAGATCATGCACATAGATACAAATCTGTTAAACGACATATAGAAGATCTAACCTGGTAAAAGGTTGATATTGGAGGGTCTCAACAATACCACGATTCAAAGTGAGATCTAAAGGGACATCGAGTGCCAAGTTTGACCATTGTGTCAAATAAGAGCAAGATTTCAATTATCCATAAGAGCAAGATTTCAATTACCCGGTCTCTAAGCATTCAATTTGCTATAACTAATCTCAAGCCATTAAACCACTTCATATGGATTTATACACTCTACAATTTGTTTTAATCATATTATGTTCCTATTATAGTGTCAAGTAAGAGCAAGATTTCAATTATCCATATGAGCTAGATCAAGGGTATTAAATGCATCTATGGATCTAGCTCATATGGATAATTGAAATCTTGCTCTTACTTGACCCTATAATAGGAACATAATATGATTAAAACAAATTGTAGAGTGTATAAATCCATATGAAGTGGTTTAATGGCTTGAGATTAGTTATAGCAAATTGAATGCTTAGAGACCGGGTAATATAATGAAGCGTTGTTGTTGAATAGATAGTAAAAACGATATCATCCACATAAAGGAGAAAAGAAACTGATGGGCCATGATGATAGATAAATAGAGATGATATACATCATAATGTTCAAACCCAAGATGATTTCAGTAGTGAACAAATCGATCAAACTACGCATAAGGGGCTTGCTTAAGTCCATAAAGAGATTTGCAAAGAAGGTACAAAAATTCAAGCTACATTGCATCCACAAACCTAGGCATATGGGGCTTGCTTAAGCCCATAGAGAGATTTGCAAAGAAGGTACACATATTCAAGCTACATACATTGCATCCACAAAGCTAGGTGGTTAATGCATATGCACAATCTCACATAGGTCCTCATGAAAAAAAAAATAACAAAATAAAATAAAATAAAATAATTCTCAACGTTCACGTAGTGAATCGGCCACTGACAAAAGAAAACAAGACTAACAACATTGTGAATGGTGGCCGGTTGTGAAACCTAGCTAAAAGTCTCATAACAATAAATGTTCGTTCTTGACTCTTCCTACTAGCAATCAAACAAGCCTTGTAGCGATCAAAAGAACCATTGTCACAAAGTTTCTTTTTAAAAATCCAAATAGCCTCGATAATGTTGACATATGAGGGCCAAGAAACAAGTATCCAAGTACCATTAGTAATAAGAGAATTATATTCATCAATCGAGACTTTTCATCAATTATGATCATCAAGAGCATGCAAGTGACCAAAGGGCCTTTGGCCTAGCAGTACCAAGGAGTTCGAAAGGCATCCCTCCCTTAAGGGGTTGAGGGTTCAAGTCCCGTTGTGGATAATAAAATAGTTTAGGAGTAGATTTAGTGGGTGTGTGTGTTAGCCGTTAAACAAAAGAGCTTGCAAGTGGCATTGAGGAGTTGAAGAGGGGGCTTGTATGTAAGGGTTGAGGCGTCGCGTTGTATGAAGTTTTGAATGCCAAGTTTTGATTGGGTAAACATTGGGTTGAGGCATTACGTCATCTCTAAACATATTTATGAGGTTGTCCAAAATCGAAATTGTAGATATGCCCTTCTTCAAAATCATCGTCAATGGGACGTTCAAGGCGACCAAGATATCCAAAGCTTATGCAATGAGTTTCAAAAAGCTACTAACATGCATCATAATTAAGCTCATCGAGACCAAAGGTCGATGGGATGAAGGCTTTGATATTTGTTATCCCAAATGGTTTTTAGGGGTTGGCGTCCATGTAAAGCAATTAGGGCCAAAAAGTGAGAGTTGAATGTGTCAGATTAAGGAAGGGATAGGAGAGAGGTTAAGAAAATGATGACTCTAATACCATGTAATTTGGAATAATCATTCAAAATTGATACATTCCAGGAAGAAAGATATAGGCAAGGATTAAGCAATGGATATGAGAGAGGTTAAGTTAAAGATCGCTTAAATACCATGTAATTTGGCATAATTATCCAAAAGTTATACAACTTCAGTTAATCTTTAGACTAAAGACAACATGGGCATGGGCAATGGGTCGGGCTATACAAAACCCAAGTAAGGTCTAAGAGTACATAAATATATACATTAATATATGTGGGATAGATAAGATGCATAGACTTACAAATCCCCTGGTGTATTATGAAGGATGTTTAAATTTGCACAGTAAGAATGATTATTTTAGTATTGTAACTTCAAGTGTTCATATAATTTTTAGGCAACCTACTTCTGCTTATCAAAGGGTAGTGTTGCATACTATTATTTTACTCTTATATATATATATATATATATATATATATATATATATATATATATATATATATATATATATATATATATATATATATATCCTCGAATAATCAAGATTTGTCAAACATTTTAAACTATTTAGATAATTATTACAAGTTGAATTAAGAGAAGCAATATATATTGAACCAGATATTAATTCTTATTATTCTTAGTTGATTATCTACTTCCTACTATTCAAAAGCACATCCAAACATCACCAAGTGTTTAGAAAGATAAGTGGTGAAGAATGGAACAATAAGATGGTATGTCATTTACAAAAGTAAATTTCATTAAACTAATATAACTATCGACATTTTAGTTCTCACATGATCATATAAAATATGTTGCTTATGCATGTATTAATTCATACTTAGGCGATCAAGTAACAACTAGAAGTGAACTTATGCTCACATGTGAAGAACTTTTAGAACATTGTGGAAAAGCAATAAAAGATGATCTTTCATTGGCTTGATATCAAGATTTATGTTTAAGACAAACCTAAACTAGAACTTCCTTATGTTATTTTATATAAAGCCAACATAAATTCAATGTACTCAACAATTCAAAACCATAATAATTTCTCCAAAATACTCGTAGCTAATTATATTATTTGTGATTGCAACTCACAATAATTAATTTAAGTATGTATTTAACACCCTTAAACATTAGATAATATGGTCGCTTAGATAAGTGTTTTGTTATTTCCATGAACTACAATTCTGAACCTATGTGTAATTAAGATGTAATCCTTAGAAAATATACATGTTTTAATGGATAATGTAGATACTTTCTAAAAGATGAATGGCCACACCTATATTCTCGAGGACCATCTCACTCGTTTTCTAGAATTTACAAACCTGAATGCAAAATGCATGTTCTCAATCAGATTTTTTTAACAGCAAGCATTGCATTGGAACCAATAGCAAGCAGCTAGCTAGTGCAAAGAAAACAACAAATTATATGTTATCAACAGCTTCAATTAGGTTCTTAAGCCAATTTGTCCAACAAACATTCGACCTATGGAAAACCAACAAAAAAGAATATAAATTTTATTGCATGTTCTTGATCAGATATGATCATATGATTTTTATTGTCCCTACAAAGAAGACACAACTACCAAGATGTGCTAATCAGATAATATTAAGTCCCATATGACAACTATTGATTATGTGCAACACTAACACACCTGCTAAACAAAAATAACCAAATAACATGTGATTTGTCTCTTTGTTCCTAAACTTTATTGCCAGCAGTAGTAGCATAACTAGACAAGTGAGTAGTAAGAGAATTTGTGAGTTTCCTAGTTTCTTGAACATGTAATATTTTCATATAGAAATATATGACACATTCTAATTAAAGCACAAACATGTATTCATCAACAACTCACCTAGCAGACAATTTGTATCTATGGATGACTTGATTATAGAATTCATGATCCATGACTACCAAGATACTAACCAACACAAACTTTCTACACAAATCAATGATCATAGTAACACACGAAGTGGTTAAAAAGCATTAACGGATATCATGATAGGCACCAATATGTGTAAACTAAATTGTTGCTAAAACCTAAAAACCACTCCAGGGAGATGGTTAAGAAAAAGTAGAAAGTTGAATATATTTTATGAACCCCAAATCAACTGCTTAAGAAAACATGTACAAACTATCTAACCTGAAAAAATTTCTTTGATTTGATGCCTCTCTGAGAAGGAAAAGACTTCACCATATCTGCTTACATACTATCTTACCTGAAAATCAAAACCAATATCGAATATATGTACATACAACACAGTGATCTCTCTTTATCTGTGTATTTCCAGTGTGTGTACCTACAAAAAATTACGAAAAAAACCCTGATGAGAGATGCATAACCACATCGTGCTTACACAATTAATATTTCACCTTTTCTCAAAAATATACTATATAAAAGTGAAATCCATCAGATCCATAGGAGAAATAGGATCTAAAATCGATAAGAATGAGATTAAGGGAGAAAAAATCAAATACTCAGCCATGATTTAAGCCAAAAATTAGAAGAACGCATAAGAAAGTACGGGGATGGGAGGAGGAAACCCTAAAATGGAAAATTTAATTTTTTTTGGGAAAGAGAATAAAAGAAACGGTTAAAGTGTACTTAAGACAATAACAATAATGATTAATAAGGAATGACGAGGAAGTACCTTGCTAATGATTTTAAGAAAATCTCATTTCGTCCTCTCCGTCATCAAAAAGTACAGGTTTGTAGAACTCCCAAGTCGAATATATATTATTATAATGTAAATAATCAGTAAGAAAGAACAACAGTTAGAAACAAATTATATAAATAACCAATCAATCATAAATAGTATAAATTTTGCAATAGGAAAAGAACCTGCAGATGGGTATATATGATCCGATCTATCTTGTACGTATTGTTCTTGATCTTATAGATCTTGCCATTCTGAAACTATTTAATGTTGCAAGAAGCCAAGAAAAAGATATTTTGTAGAGAAACAGGGATAAGAACAATATTAAAGAATGTGGATGTGTAGGTGTGGTGTAACTATAGTCATCAGAAAGTTGCAGCTTTTTCCGAGTGTTTTTGATAGATAGATATATATCACAGTAGCCAGGTGTCCATCTTTTCTGCACCTTCAACAGTTTTCCATGCTTTCCCAGTTCCCATTAACATGAAAAAATACATAAAATAAGCAAAACCCATATGATACCATTCTGTAACATAAACAACACATAGAACAGAAGACATATGGAAGGAGAAAGAAGTAAAGGGAGGCTGACAGCAAGAGAAGTGAGCACACGCATAAGTCCAATATAGTCTCTCTATACAATTGCCTCTGCGTGTGCTCACTCTCTTCTGTCAGATTTCAACCAAACTCCATCTTTTCTCCCCAGTACTTGTTTGCAGCAAGAACACGATAATCATGAAATAAAGTAAACAACTTTTGCAAAATCATTTCTTGATTGAAACACAATTAGTTACAGCCTCCTATTGTATCTTTCAATCATGGTTGACTTAATTGTGTTATACATGGAATATAGAAAGATAAACCGAGACACGAAAATCTTCCATTTTATAGAAGAAAGATGACGAATCTGCTTTGTGGTTGCGTTCTTAACTCCACCCCACCACACCACCGCCATGTTTATCTTCTCCACTAGTTGCTTGTCGTTTATGCCCGTATCATGATTAATCAAGATATCATGTGGTGGGGGAGCAAGATTAACGAATGAAACATCATCTTGATTTGTTTTCGATTTAAACTCAAGATTACCTAAACAGATGCTTAGAAAAGAGATTGGGAACAAGGGATTGGTGTTGTCGAGAGGGTATTGGTAGAATTAGGGTAGAATGAAAACGTGGAAGAAGGTGATTGGGTCGGGAGGATGGCGGAGGAAATGGGATCAAACTGAGTACACCACAGTAACTGTAGGCCATACATGTGGTGGGTCCCGGGTCCCGGCATCTGTGCTGTCGCCGGGAAGTTGGACTTTGAAGTATTGCTAAATATTCCATCAATCGAGGAAGACCGCATTTTGGGCTACACCCCATCCATTGATATTCTGTGGGGAAAATACATTCGCACCCCATAATCCATATAAGTAAGGGCTGTTTGTTTACCTTAAGAGGCAATGTCTTAAAATTTCAGGTTCATAGCGTTTGTTTGTGTATTAATTTTTATCTTTTAAAAATAAAAACGCCTCTTATTTTTTCAGATAGAAAAGCAAGTCTGAAAAATAAAAACAAGGCGTGTCTCTATTTTGCCCTAAAGATCGACCGCCTCTTTTCTTTTCTTCCCTTCGGCTCTGCTTGCTTCACATCTCTTCTCTTCAGCACCTAGTAGCGACGACGCCACTGAAGACGCCAACGACGACGCCAGCAGCGCTGTCTTCCTCCTTAAACTGGCCTCATTGTTTCTTCCTTATGTTCAGCCAAGTCGACAGCAGCCAGCAGGTATTTTTTCAGTTTTTTCCTTCTGTTTCTTCCTTCTTTCCCTTCGAATTCATTGGTCTCTTTGTTTTTCTTCCTTCTTTCTCCTCAAAGTTGAAAATCAAAAAACGAAATTGATATGCCATATTTTCTGATTTGTTCAATCAGATTCAATATTTGATGTTATGTTATATTTTGATGTTATATGCTTGATTATGATGTTATATGCCCAATTGTGATGTTATGCTATATTTTGATGTTATATGCTTGATTATGATGTTATATGTCCAATTTTGATGTTATATGATCGATTATGATGTTATATCCTCAATTTTGATGTTCATTCTTGATGTTATGTTTGATTTTTTCTACTCATATATTTATGTTTAATATTTTTATGTTTGAGTACTATGCTGAAATGTTGTTCCTGACAAGTTTTGTTCTTGATGTTATCATGAAATATCCATTAGTTTTGTTGAATTGTGTATTTCTTTTTTCTACTCATATATTGTGTATTTCTTTGTATTGCTTAAATTGTTGTTGATATGTGTATTTGCAATGCTTAAGTTGTTGCTAAAACATACATTTTTTTTGTTGAATTGATCAAAGAAATGGGAGAAAAGAAGGATAGGATTAGTTGGAAGGTTGAAGGTGTAGAGAAAACATTTCTAGAAGCTTGTTTACGTGAAGTTACGGTCAATGGACGGGAATGGAGTAGTTTGAAAGCACTACCTTGGTGGAATGTAGCTGAAACATTAATATTTATGGATTTGGATTTGTGTTTAATTTTGATTTATGCTAAATTTGGATTTTATATGGTGTTTATATTTTTTTAATACGTATTTAAGAAATTTATTAGGTTATTTTCTAAACAAACAATTGAATTCAATAAAAAATAAAACAGAAGGGTAAAATGGTCATTTTAATAATTCAACACAACAATTCAGAGGTCCCAACCAAACAGCATGTTCAACATTCAGCTCTTAAAATTTCAGACCCTCTTAGAAATTCAGATCTCTTAAAAATTCAGATCTTAAAAATTCAGATCCTGCCAAACAGCCCCTAATTTATTATTCGAACAGCCGCTCGGCTCATATATCTTGTCTTGGCCGATGAACGACGGGGAAATTGGGAAGAAGACGAGGAGCGTAGATGGCGTCGCATGTTAAATGGATGCATTCATAATTAAACTATGTTATAACCCGTGTAAACCATGGACGGTATATATAAAATGTTTATATAGATTAAAAAATAACAAATGTCAAAAAAATCAAGATCTTTGTAAGTAATTATGAATTAATTTGTTAAGCAAAATAAAGATAATAATCTTACTTGAATATGATTTTGTATTTTCAAATTTTAAATTGAATTTGATTTGTTACCAAAAAAAGGAAATAATAAAAATAATAGAAAATGACACGTGTTAAAGAGACATTCTAAAAAACTGACACGTGTAATTTTTAGGTTTCATTTATTAGAAAAGATATATAACTGATTTAAGAATTAAATAAATAGCTAAATAGCAAAAAAGATATTGAGTAAACTATCGAGTATCGAAGATGTTAACAAAGAGACTAACTATTTAACTTAGGTATTAATTTGTACACAATATTTTTTAGTTATAATGAACAATTTATGTTTTAGACGATTATATTGTATACTAGGCGAATACCCGTGCGTTGCGCAGAAACATCTATATAGTTGAAATCTTTAAAAATATATATTTTTTAAATATAATAATAAAGTTGTTGTTAAATTTGATATAATAATTCGTATACTAAATTGATATAATATATTGATTATTTTGAATTATATGATAATATATACATCTACTATAACAACATAATCTCAACCGTTTGAATGAATTTTACCCGCGAGTTACTCATGAATAAAATTAAATATAATATATGGTTTAATGTTATTTATAGTTGTTGTTATTTTTAATTAATTTTTAAAAATTTTATTTGCTTAACGTTTTAATTTCTATCATTATAATTATTTAAAATATCAAACATTGTTTTTTGATTTTAAAGGTAACAATATAATCATTTATATAGACTTATTTTTAACTATTGTTATTGTAAGTTATTTTAAGCTACTTATTTGAAAACTTTTAACGATTATAGAAATATCTTTATGAAATATTTTAGTTAAATTGAGATTATAATTATTTTTTGCATTTAGCACTACAACTCATCACTTTTAACTATTCACAAAATATTCATTGGGTTTTTTAAGTGGAACCGAAATTTATATTTAAGTTGACACTGTAATGTTATATTTAAATTAACAATTTAAGTATTTTGTCCAAACTGTTCAAAAGCTGTAGCTTTAAACTGATAATGGTTTACATACAACAACATATTAAATATAATAAATTAAGTATAACATGTTAAAAGTTAAAGACATAACTTTATAAGTAGAAGTAAATAAATTATTTAAATATTGAAATTTAGTTTATTTATGATTACACTTTAAGTTTGATATTTATTTAACCTAATTAACCAACTTATAATCATTATTAGAAAAACACTACAATTTATCACTTTTAACTATTTACAAAATATTATTTGGCTTGTTTAAGTTAAACTAAAATTTATATTTAAGTTGATCCTGTAATGTTATATTTAAATTTATAATTTAAGTATTTTATACAAATTGTTCAAAAGTTGTAGCTTTAAAATGATAATGGTTTACATCCAACAATATATTAAAGCTAATAAATTAAGTATAACTAGTGTATGAACCCGTGGTGAACCACAGTTCACGTTATTTGTTTTATTTTGTCATCGTTTTCTAAATGATAAATGCTTTCAATTATTAATGTTGCGTATTTTACACTTAAGAAGGTAGTAAATGGCATCATGTAGATGGTATTTAATAAATGAAAGCCTCTTCCATCCACTAACCGGAACTGTTGTATAATTAGTTTATTTGATAAAGTTCGTTTCTATTGAGGAGATCTCATTTGAAATAATGGTCAAGAACTACATTTTGTGTAATAGAATGCAACGAAATTGTCAAATGGGATGAAAGTTTGGTTTCTGTTGGGATGAAGATCAAAGTCATGATTTTCCTATAAGAAAGTGGGCTTTTCCCTGTTGGAATTTTTCATTTACCCTTTACCCTTAGACCTTTATGCTCTTTGCTTTATACCAAATTTGGCTTCTTTCTAATTTAGTAGTTGGGCACCTGTTTTGGATGTTTATTGGTTGATGGATTTGTATTTAAATTGTAATAGATTAGTGGATTCATTACTCTTAGAATTATTTTAGTTGTAATATAGTTATTTCAGGTAAATTTTAAATTCACTCCATATACAAACTTCTTTTGAAGGATTAAAGGGTGCATCAACTAAATTACAGAATCTTGAACATAAAATAGGTTTACCATCATAACCTCCACCAAGGAAGATGGTAAACAATCATAGCATATTTTATCATTTCACATGTTTGATGCAGTACCCGATTAGGCTTGCTGTACGGGATTTTCTTTTTTCCAAATTTGTAGCATATTTTATCATTTCACATGTGTTACACTGGAAAATTTCAATGAAACATTTTTTTGTAAAATACAAAGGAATACTACTGACTTTAGTTTCTAATATACATCTATAGTTGTATGCTTCTAATTCTATTATTAATCAATTTTTTTATGATCCAATATCTTGTCCCCTTTTCAAGAAGGCTTTTGAAATGTCAAACCCATAGAGCTGGAAAGGAAAAAAGAGAGCAAAATCATAATTGAAAATGGAACAGAAAATCAATAGTTATCACACATACAAAAATTCTATTATTTGCGAAAAACTAATTATATGTTTAAAAAACATAGAAAAAGAAGGAAATTTATGCAATTTTTTGATCTGGGACCATTTTTGTGACAGATTCATGATAGAGGGATCAAGTCATCAATAAGTTTTGACCATTTTGCCCTCAAAGGAATGTCAAAGTTCTTATCAGTTTTTACTAAGGCTGAAATAGCACAACTTTTATAAGAATCTTGAAATCGTTTTTTTAAATATGACAAAAAAACATCTCATTCCGGTGAGATAATAAGAAGATCACAAAAAAGTTTATCTATTTAACTAAAAAAGCATTTGAATGTCATCATTTTTACCACACAAACGGCCTAAGATAGCATTAAACAATACAAAATGTTAAGTCTTTTAGCTACTTCTAAAACAAAAACTGTAGGCATCAATTCATCAAGATTTTTTGACCATTTTGCCCTCAAAGGAAGCTTAAAGTTCTAATTAGTTTTTAGTAAGACTGAAATGTTAATAATAATGTACACACTTAGAGAAGCTGTAATGAAAGCCCTTATTCAAGAACATTAAAAAGGTATGGCTTCCTTGCTATTGATTATTTGCTATCAGAAGCACAAACAATTATAGATAAAAAAGTTTTTATGTCTATGGGAGCCAATCACGAAGTATCAGATACTACCATGGTCTCCATAGAATGGGCAATGTAAGAACTTGTTAAAAACCAAAGATGCAGGTGTGTTTTTTTCTTTTAAATGACTTGTATTATACACGACTAAAATGAAATTAAGTTCCAATTCTTTTTCCTAAAATAAGAGTGGCAGGAAGCGGACAAAAACACA